ACGTAAGAAGAAATAATATCGAATTTTTGGGCGTAGAGTCCAACAAAATGATTGATTATGCTTTTGACACCACAGCTGATCTAAGCAAAGTTAGTAGTCAAAATACATATGATAAAGTTTCAATTATAACTTGTGACTCTGAGGAAGAAGAGGCACAGGTGATTTCATTAATCATAAAAAATGAAGGCTCTAAAAATGTGTCATTTTTTATCGGTAATCAACTACTTGCAACACGCGTAGCATGCTTACTTGAACAAGATGATATAGAAGATTATCCATATATAACACTTTTGCTCTATAGTATAGAGGTATTAACCTCAAACTGGAACAGTGTCGAACTACTTTCACTTCTTAAACACACGCTAGTAACATTTGGTTATGCTAAAGAAGAATATAGTAAAATACTATCGGAGTTTGAAATAGAAATATTGCGTAATTTTAGCATAAGTAATCTTGAGGGTATTATAAATAATATCAAAAAACACAAAAAAATAAAATATAAGGAAGATATATTGACGATTATCAATAAATTAAAGAAAATATATAATCCTTTACTTAATATTATTAATTGTTCTATTTACGAGGTAGCCAGGGCGCATGTACAATGCGTTGATGTGCTATCTGATTCGCATTTTAAAAATGAGTTTATGATATGTTTCCTTACCGCTTGTAGGGATATAAAAATAAAATGCTCCTTAGAATTATATAGAGAAGTACTCACTCTGTTTCTTAAAAAGCACTTTTCCCCGAAGGGGAATAACCTAAGCTTACATAAAAATAAAGTTGTAATAATTACAGACTTCAATGAAGTACCTAAAAATTCATTTTTAAACTCACTCATGGGAGATGTACAAGAAGAGCAAGGATATTTTCTATATACCTTATACAATTTATTCTGCGCACGTAAGATCTATATTACAAGGTCACTAAATCGCAGAAAATCAATTCTGTTACAACGCATTGAGATACTGTTTCAGACAAAACAACCTTATAGAGACTGGCTAAAAATACTAAATACGCCTGAGTATGTACTGCCCTGCATGCAGCCTACACCAACACCAACCACTGAAGTGAGAAAGAAAAAAATGCAAACGATATCTTGCAGCGCGGTAGAAAAATTAATCCGTAATCCTTATTCATTTTACGTTGAACACATACTTAATCTCAAAAAGTTACGAGACCTAAGTTTTAAACCATCAATATTAGAGTTTGGTATCTTAGCGCATAATATCTTTGAACAATACTCACGCAATAAAGATATTGATTGTATGAATATTGCAAAAAAAGAGTTTTTTTCTAGTTATTTTAACTTCTCAAATATGTGGTGGATAAAGCTACAAAAAATCATTCAGTCCTTTGTTGAACTTGATAAAACTAGAAATCAGTGTATTGAGGCAGAAAAAAGCTTTTCTCTTTTTGTTTTAGA